TGTACCCCTCAAGCCATCGGCATCCCTCACTCATGCCACCCTCTCTCCCCACTCTCTCCAGGATATGGCAAGGGGCTGGGAACTGGGGCCTTCCCTGGGGCAGGAGCCCAGCCAGGTGAGAACCCTTGGGCGGGAGCCCAGGTCTCTTAAAGGGGAGGGGGGGGTGGTGAGGGGAAGGGATGAGGCAGAGACCTGGAGGGTGGGGTGTGGGGAGACAAGTGGGATCTCCCATGGTCCTGGATGGGGGAGGGGGAGCCCCCACACCCCTTCCCGGTCCCTAGTCCCCTCCTCCCACCCCTAGGATATGGAAATGGAAATGGAAATGGACTGGGAGTCTGGCCAGGTGAGGGCAGCTGCGCCTAGGTCCTGAGGAATGGGAAGCAGAGAAGGGGTGGGAGGGGCAGGGACCAGGAGGACAGAGGGCTGGGAGCTGAGGTCGGGAGGGTGCCGGTGGAGTCATTGTCAGCCTCTTCGTCTGTCCCCAGGCCTAGGAGCAGGCCTGAGGCCAGGTGAGGGAGCCCTGCGTCCGGCCCCGCAGGCCTCCTCTGTCCCCACCCCATGGGCTGGTGTTCTGAGCTGGGCCTACGTGAGGAGAGGGGGCGTGATCCCTGCCTCACGAGCTAGGGAGTGTGCAGGGAACCAAGGACCATGGGAAGAAGAGGTGGGGGGAGACCAAGCGGTCCCATTCCTGGCCTAGACCCCCCCAACTGCATCACCCTCCCCCTCCTCTTCTTTCACAGCCCTCATAGCTCACAACGGCTTTGGACCAGGTAGGGCTGGGCCGGGGACCTGGGGGGCCCAGAGCTAAGCCGGGTCCCTCACCTGTTCCCCATCTCTCCATCAGGCTATGGAGGGGGCCTGAAGCCCCTGAAGCCAGGTGAGCCCTGCCCCGGCCTGTCTCCCTCCGCCTCCCCCAAGCCTGAGCTCCCTCCCTCACTCCCACCCCACCTCCATCTGCCCCCAGGATTCGGAATCAGGATCGGGCTTGGAGCCCAGCCAGGTGAGTGGTGGTGTCTGGGTTGCTCTTCCTCTCTCAGAGGCCCGCAGGGAAGGTGGGGACCAGAATGAGGGGGAAGGGGGTCTCTGGAATCCCTGCTTTCTGCCTTGGCCCTGACGGGGGCCACAGGCCCTTTGCCTCGCCCTAGCCAGGGTCTCAAACCCTCCACTCACCCCCCTTCCCCATGGGCCCCCCCCAGGCCAGAATAGCTGCTGAGCAGGTACTGCAGAATTGGGAGATGCCAAGGGTGTGGAGAGGAGGAGAGAGGTGGGTCTCCCACAGACCCTGTTCCCTCGTGGGTGCCCACCCATCTGAGAGAGGGTAGAATCGGCCACTGAATGGCTGTGGCATGAGGCAGGGCAGGTGCCAGGAGTTTAGGGTCCCACACCGGGAGGGAGGTGGACCAGAGTCCAGCCCCTTCGCCTTCCCCCCTGCCACCCACAGGCCCTGCACCTCCCATTGGCCATGGCCCAGATGGGGGAGGCTGTGGGGGGCAGATGAGGGAGGCTAGAGGAGAGGCCCTGTGGTAGGGCGTCACGACCCCTCACTGTCCCCTTCTCTCCAGGCACTGGAGAGGGCATGACGCCTCAGAAGCCGGGTAGACCCCTTTTCTCCACCCCTCCCAGTCTCCCTGCCCCCAGAAACTGCCTACTCCCGCCACGACCACCCTTGCCCCCTCCCAGGCCAACCCTGTCTCCCAGGGCCCAGGACCCAGGACCCAGGAACAACCCAGGAGCTGGGGCCTTCCCAAGGGGAGGAGCCCAGTCAGGGGCAGGGGGTTAGGACCTGAGGAGAGGAGAGAGGGATTGACACCATGAGTCAGGATGGGGTCCTGGGAGGGAGGGGATGGGACCTGCTCATCATCCTCCTCAGTCAGCCCTGCTCTTCCCCCAGGATACCTGCCAGGGAACGGGTTCCCACCAGGTAAGCGGGATGGAGGCTCATGAGCAGACAGGGGCTTCACTCCCAGTGGGGGGCAGCGGGATCTGAGCTGGCCGCTTTGTCCCCCCTCAGGCCTGGGAGTGGGTGTGAAGCTTCAGAAGCCAGGTGAGGGAACCCCCATCTCCACCTGTATCCCTTTTGCCTCTCCTTCCTGCCCCCAGCACTACCTCTCACACCTCTGTTTTTCCCCTCCAGGATATGGCAATGGAAACGGGCTGGGGACCCCACAGGGTGAGGCCTCTGGGACGAGGGGTGGACACCGTGGAGAGGGAGGGACATGTGGAAGGCGGAGGGCTGGGGGACCCCTAGCAGAAGCCCATCCCTGCGGGAGTCCCAGCCTGGCCAGTGTGCCCCTTGGATGCTGGGCCTGTCCCAAAAGCCGCCACAGGCACGGGCATCCTGGGCGGCAGGGCAGAGCCTGGCCTGGACCTCACTCCCTCCCTTCTCCCCCATCCTAGGGCCTTGCCGTCAGGGGGCCGCTCCTCGGCTCCTCCCTGGGCCTCCCACTCCTGGGGTCCCTTCGGATAAAGGGAGTGGCTGGGGCCTGAAATCCCAGCCTCCAGCCACAGTGCAGAACGGCAGGTTCCCAGGTTAGTGGAGTGGGGGTACCCAGGGGGGACTGGGAAGCACTGGTCCTAGGAGGGGCTGGGCCCAGCCACCACGTCCTACTCCACCATGTCTGCTGACACCGAGGCTTAGCGAGGGCAGTCCGCTGACCCGAGGCTTATGTCACAGTGGTCAGCTGAGGAGATGCCTGAATTCTGGTTCTGCGACCCCATGTGACCCCCAATATGGCAGTGGCCTCCATCCCTGCCCCATCTTGGCTGTAGCCATCCCAAGTCCTGTGCCGGACTCAACCCCACCCCTGACTTTCTTCGTAGGACCAATATCAGCCATCCAGTGGGGACTGAAACCTCAGAAAGCAGGTGTGAATCTGTCTGCCCCAGACCCAAATCCCAGAGGGACAAACCCTCCACTAGGCCTGTCCCCTGTCCCCACACCAGTCATGGCTCTTCCTCCTTCTCTCCTGTTCAGGCACCCTAAGACCAGGAATTCCCTCCTCAAGTCTACCTTCAGTCTCTCTTGCTGCTCTTTCTTTTTTTGAGTCAGGGTCTCAATCTGCTGCCCAAGCCGGAGTGTCGTGTCATGACCACAGCTCACCACAGCTTCGACCTCCTGGGTTCAGGCGATCCTCCTGCCTTAGTCTTCTGAGCAGCTGGGACTACAGGCACATGCCATTGTGCTTGACTAATATTTTGATTTTTTGTAGAGACAGGGTTTCACTATGTTGTCCAGGCTGGTCTTGAACTCCTGGGCTCAAGCAGTCCTCTTGCCTTGGCCTCCCTAAATGCTGGGATTATAGGCATGAGCCCCCTCACCCAGCCTTCTCTTGCAGCTTTCTAAGCTCATTTCTTCTGGTTCCGTTCCCTGTGGATAGGGAGAGTCCCTTCTTCCCCCTTAGAGTCCATAAGGTCCATACTAGGCCCCCGAGGAGTCAGGGAAGTCTGGCCCGTCCTCACTGACCTCCACACTCCTCACAGGATACCAGCCTCTAAATGGCTATGGACCAGAAGCAGAGCTGGGTGAGAAGACCCTTCCTGGAGTTCCTTCCCCTCCCCTCCCTGTTCTCCTCTCTCCTCCCCGCCCCCCTTCCTCTTCTCTCTGCCAGCCCAGCTGATGGGAGGTGGGAAGTGGGGGCTGTGACCTCCCATCTCTGACCCACAGTGTCCTTTCCCCCAGCCTTTGGTGGTGGCCTCAAGCCACAGAAAGTTGGTGAGTCTTCCTGGGCCCTATGGCGAGCCCCTCTCTGTCTCTTGTGTCTCTGTCTCCTTCCTTACCCACCTAGCACATATTTGCTGTGCACTGGGCGGTGATGGTGGCTGGACCCAGGTGCGATTCTGTCTCAGGTGAGGGTAGAGGGTGAGACTGAAGCCAGGTGGGAAGGAAAGAGCAGGTGAGGAAGTTGCCCTGAAGGAAAGTCAGGGAAGGTTTCCTGGAAGCTGTGACAAGAAGGCTACACAGGAGTTGGCTGAGGGTGGGAGGAGCATACTCCAGACAGATGGAACAGACAGTGCAAGGTCCTCTAGGTCACCTCTGGGACACTCTGAGTCTGTCTGCATCTCCTGTATCTCTATGAGCTCGTGACCTGGCCCTGCCAGAGTTGGCCCTGCCCCTCCTCATCCCTGCCCCACCAGCCCCAGCTCCGCCCCTTGGCTCCTTTCTAATCTCTCTCTGGCAGGTTTTGGTTACAGGAATGGCAATGGCGTTCTGGGAACCAGGGTCTTCCCCGAGGCCCACCCTCAGCCAGGTGCCTGGGGCGCTGGGCAGGGGTGGGGTACTGGGCAAGGGCTGTCCCTGTTGCTGATGTCCTCATCCTTCTTCAGGGTTCCCTGGGGCCACTGGCTTTAGGAATGGTGAGTCCTTTGACCCAGGGGACAAAGTGCAGCCAGGGAGGAGAAGGGACATCCCCAGGTGCTGGGCAGGAATAACTGGAATTTTTGCAGGGTATGGGGCCAGAGTTCTGGCACTCCCCAAAGTGGCTCCTGCCCCTGAAGGACACGGTAAGAGACAAGCATTCAGAAACAGAGAAGTCTGAGGGTCCAGGGGACCAGGCGGGGTGGGGAGGGGCTGTGGTTCGGGAGGACGAGGGCCTCTGATGCCCAGCCCCAGCAGGCAGGGGTGCCCATACCAGCTCTCCTTCTGCAGACCAGGCCGCAGTGCTGCGGGGTTCTCCCTGGCCTGCCCTCCAGTCCTGGGGAGCCAACCTGAAGCTCGGATATGGGGCTGAAGGCGAATACGCAGAGGTTGGGAGCCAGCCAGGTGAGGGGAATGTGGATGAGCAGGTGGGGGCGGGGTACCTTCAGGGAGCTGGACCCTGGGCTCTGTGGGAACAGAGTAGGTGGCACTCGTGGCCCAGGGGATGGAATGAGTGGGAAGGGCCAGGAGGGACAGGGTAGGGCTGCAGAAGAGGCCAGTGGAGCCAGGAACAAGGGAGGTGATGGAAGCCGGAACAGTTTCCCCACATGCCTTCCCACTCCCCAGGGCTCTATGGGCAGCTGAGGCCAGAGCTGGGCCCTGGGCCCTTCGGTGAGTGGGGGTCTCCCTGAGCCTGGCTGAAGTCAGGGTGGACAGGAGAAGTCCTCTGGTGATCCGGGTGCCCCTGTTCTGTCTGTCTGTGCCTTAGGGGGCCCTGAGGTGAAGAGAAGCAGCAACGGCCAACTGGGAGATGGCTACCGAGGTGAGAAGGAGGCACGGTGGCCACGTGCCCCATCCTGAGGGCCAACCCTGTCTCCACTCCAGTTGTACTGGGGGCTGCCTTAGCTCCTGGGAGGGATAGCTGGCTCTCAGCCGCCTGTAGGTGACTGCTGAGTGACTGACCTCAGAGGTCAGGCAAGGGAGAGGACTCAGGTCCCCAGGAGGCCAGGACCTCACCAGGAGACCTCACCAGGGCCCTGTCTCACCCTAGTCCCTGTTCTGCCTCTTCCCAGGCCACTGCCCTCTTGGAAAATGCTGAGCACTGGAGCCTGTCCCCTGCCTGTCCTGGGGGCCTCTGAGTCACAGCCTGCCCCACGGGACAAGGAAGGTGCAAGCCTCGGGCTTGTTTTGCTGCTGCCTAGCCTGGGGTCTCCTCTGGGCTAGACGCATGAATAAAGGCAATATGCTCCCGTTTGCTTCTGTGTTCCGTGCAGGGGGCTGCTGATGGGTGGGGGTGGCATGGGCCTGCAGACACCACCCAGCACCTCACTTATCACTCAACAAACACCAGTGTGCCTATGTGCCAGGGACCATGTTCCAAACGGGAGAGACCCTGTGGGCAAAAGAGACTCAACGCCCACCCTCAGGGAGGGGGCATCACTTGGTTGCCACCTAGCAGGGGACCACATGCAAATTAGGACATATGCATGGAAAACAACACGGCATGATTTGTGTTTTAATGTATAATTGATTTATTAAAGGTATTAAACAAAAATCTTTTCCTTACAGTTGCCTTCCAGCTAGCATCGTGTTGACTAATAATTTGGATATAAAACTCACTTTTGGCCGGGCTTGGTGGCTCAGCCTGTAATCCCAGCATTCTGGGAGGCTGGGGTGAGTGGATTGCCTGAGTTCGCGGGTTCAAGACCCACCCAGGCAACGTGGCGAGACCTCGTCTCTACAATAAATAAAAAATTAGCCAGGCGTGGTAGCGCGCGCCTGTAGTTCTGGCTACTTGGAAGGCTGAGGTGGAAGGATCGCCAGAGCCCAGTAGGTTGAGGCTGCGGTGGCCAGGAGCGTGCCACTGCACTCCAGTCTGGGCGACAGAGTGAGACTCCAACTCAAACAAAACAAAACAAAACTCACTTTCATGTTCTTTTATGAACGCTCAGTTGGATTATAAATTTCACAGCTCAGCCAGGCACGGTGGCTCACGCCTGCAATTCCAGCACTTTGGGAGGCAGAGGCAAAAGTATTGCTTGAGCCCAGGGGTTCAAGACCAGCCTGGGCAACTTGGTAAGACCTTGTCTCTATGATACATCAAAAAATTAGGGCAGGGCTTGGTGGCTCAGCCTGTAATCCTGCGCCTTGGGAGCCTGAGGTGAGTGGACTGCCTGAGCCCGTGGGTTCGAGACCTGCCCGGGCAACTTGGTGAGACCTCATCTCTACAATAAATAAAAAATTAGCCGGGCGTGATAGCGCGCGCCTGTAATTCCGGTTACTCGGAAGGCTGAGGCGGAAGGATCGCCGGAGCCCAGCAGGTTGAGGCTGCGGTGGCTGAGAGTGGCCACTGCACTCCAGTCTGGGCGACAAAGTGAGACTCCAACTCAAAAAAAAAAAAAAATTAGCCAGCCATGGTGGTGTGTGCCTGTAGTCTCAGCTACTTGGAAGGCTGAGGCAGAAGGATTGCCTGAGCCAAGCAGGTCGAGGCTGTGGTGGCCATGAGTGTGCCACTGCATTCCAGCCTGGGCAACAGAGTGAGGTTCCGACTCAAAAAAAAAAAAGAAAGAAAAAATTAATAAATATCACAACTCAGCTGCTCCCTAAATATCCAGCATGCTTTACAAACCTGATTACCTAAATTCCCTTAGACATCTCAGATGACAATTGCAAACACAATTGACTTGATTATCTTAAGGAAGCAGGGACACAAATCCAACAACCAGCATCTTCCCAAGCACTTAAGGGACTCTTGGAAATGAATAAACCAGACACTTAATATCTTGGATTACTGAACCCTTTCTTCAAAAGCCAGTAATGGCCGGGAATGGAGGCTCATGCCTGAAATTCCCACACTTTGGATTGGTTGAGCCCAGGAGGTTGAGGCTGTGGTGAGCCATAATTGTGTCACTGCACTCCAGCCTGGGCAACAGAGTGAGACCCCAACTTAAAAAAAAGGAAAAAAAAGCCAGTTACTACTCTCGTATCTGTCAGTGCTACTGGCCAGGTTAATTTCTTCATCTCATGATTACAGATTTACTCACACACGATATGCAGAAGCAAATTGCTCTCCCAGGCAGGGTCCAGAATAGAAGTTGTACAACGGGGAACTGACCCACCGTTCTGGACTTTGACTCAGAGCCTGGCCTGTCCCAGGATCAGTCTCTCTGAACCACTTCTACCTTTTGAGCTGAGCCCTTCCAAACTCATACCTTTTCTTGCAACCTGGTGAAGTTTTTTTGTCTTGTTTTGTTTTTGTTTTTTTTCAGTCAGAGTCTCATTCTGTCACCCAGGCTGGAGGGCAGAGCAGTGGCATGTTCACAGCCTTGACCTGCTGGGCTCATGTGATCCTTCTGCCTCAACCTTCCAAGTAGCTGGAACTACAGGCACGCGCCACCACCCGGTTAATTTTTTGATTTATTGTAGAGACAAGGTCTTTTTTTTTGAGTTGGAGTCTCACTCTGTCACTCAGACTGGAGTGCAGTGGCCGCTCCTGGCCACTGCAGCCTTGACC